GCGAGAAAAATCAACTATCAAAATAAATTTTTCCCAGCCCAAATACGACCCCCCTCTCCTGGCGGCCAAATACGACCCCCTGTTGGGGATTCCCCAACAACGATGTGCCCTTGATACGTATCTATTGCTTTCGCGGAACCGCGGCGGCGTTTCTCCACAGCGGTTGGCGAATCTCCGATCCTACGTATACTCGAAATCCCTGAGATCGGGTAGGCGTGGCCGCATGTTTCAACTTAACCTGAAGGTGTCTATGCTTCTGGTGAGATATTTTCATCTTGACACAATTGTTGTCGTGTCTCTGTCCAACACAGAACAAGATGACAGTTGTCCCAGACTGGAATATTCCACGAGTAACCAGTTCCGTGCCATGTTCAAATGCCACGCCTACTCTGGACTCAGGGATAAGGAGATAAGGAGTATATTTATCCCTTTTCGCTCGACCTCCGTTTCGTCAGAGTCGCAGACCGTGAACGAAACCTGAGCGGCTTCGGGCCGAGCGGATGTGATGCTCGTATGCTGAAGATCAAACTACTTCAGGGGCCAAGTTTTTAGCGAATTTGATGGTCCACGGTATTTTCGCGTGGGGGCCCAAGCGATTTCGTGTTGAGCGGATATGGTATTCATGTTGAGGAGGACAACCTACCATTGGAGACACATTTTTAGACAATTCCGCCTTCGGAGAACGAAGTCGGTCAAAAACTGGCCTGTTTTCGGGTGATTGGGGCAGTGAATGGTGAGTTGTGCCATTTTTCCAAAGCTCTCAGAGGATAGTGACCGCCAAACTTCGAAACGTGCACGAAACTTTTGGTGAGCCGGAAAACGAGCTCTCAAGGGTAGGGAACTCGGGGTGGGTGAGCCACTTATAATACGTGAAAAGCTGGAATGTGCGAAGTCACAATGACCATAGAGTGCCATGCGGACGAGAGAGTGCAGAGAAAAACAGAAGATCGACGCGTCCAAGGGGACTGAGTTCAAGTCGTCCGTGGGCCGCGTATCAGTGCAAGGACGACGTAGTGGCCACTCGCCGTCTGGGAGTGTTCCTGTGGCTCTTTCTTCTCTCAAAAATGGAATGATTTCCACATAAATAATTAACTGTGAAGGGACTTTGCGAACACTGTCCTATTGATCAACTTTGTCATCGTTGTTTACCCACCAACGAACCACACTGGTTGTCATCCAACAAACTTGGGCCTGACCATATGCTTAAAGATCTCCTCAAGGAGGAATATGACTGTTGTCACGCATCGAATATTCACTCAAAAATGTTTGTTTTGTCCTGTGTGTTCATGTTCACTCTTCGGCAGTAACATAAACTCAGATTAGATTTTTTTTGTTAGTAGAAGTCAGCTGTTTGAGCATAATAGTGTACTTACTATATGGATTAGGAGGAATTATGCAGGGTATGTGTTGCTTTCTGCTCGCTCTCTATCTCTGACTCACTGCCACTCGCACTCATTTCTGCTCCACACCACCATCACATGATTGTCCCCAGAAATCGATTTCCCGTCTGTCGTCCCTCGAGTCTCGATTACGAGACGACGGCTGTTCATGAGACCATACCTGATAGGAACCACCCTTAGCTCCATATTCGCTTTTATTTGTCCAGCTGTTTTGGTCAATATAGTAAGCTATTGCTCTCTATGAAGCGACAATATGGATGTTCTGTTCCGTTGTCCCTTTTTTTGAATCATTGTTTACCACGCTTTGAATTCTCTCTTCGCTTTTTCTATCGATAGGGCGTCTTGCATAGATCGAACTAATTTTATGCATAGCAGCTATATTTTGTGTGAGCCTAATCTTGATTGCCTTTAGTTGCTCTGCATTTCGGATGACCGTACTTGGGAGCTCCATTCCGTGTCCCGCTACTCGCCTGTGTGTTTTTTTTTCTCTCGCACAAAAACCTGTGGTATAATGAATTATGCAGACCCTTACATTGCATTAGCACCTTGGCGAGTTGTAATAGTTGCACGATGTGTATTTTAAGCCATATTACTTTCATGGTTAGCCGGAAGCATTATTGGATATTGGTAACGCAAGTTATTGACTTAACTAGCAATACCTTCGACGACATCCTGCAATATTACTCAACTCATTAGTGTAATATAAATTGTATATGAAGACTCTCGAGTTGGTTTTAACCCTCGTTGTGTTCGTGTGACTATGATCGCTTCGCTTTGTTGCTTCCATTGGCTGCGATGCTTCGATGTGATCAGCTGATGTCTCCGAGAAGTGAACGATTCTTGCCAAGAGTTAAGGTGGATTGCTGTTTGTGTTCCAATAAACAAAGATATTGCAGAATTACGCACACATATTGTTGAGGTTGCTGCGTCTGCTCCAGATCTCTGTTTGGAATATATATATATTGACCGTTGGTCGCGTCTGGCGTTTGAATTTTTCGCCTGTGGAACAAAAGATGATTAGTCGATGCTTCCGGTACGCCCCTCTTTTGTTTACGGAAGTTGGCACTACCCCCCCGCCGCGCCCATTCCTGGTTCCTTCCCATTACGAGCTGTGAGTTCGGTAGAGATTAAGACCCTCCTCCTACATTTACTTTCAATGTTCCATTTGGCTTTAGCACTTTTTGTGTTAATCTATCAGGATATCACTATTACCTGGACCTTTAGGCAGATAGCGTTCAGACTTGTAGCGCACAACTGTAGCGCTACATCGTCCGCCGCTATTCATCGCTTATCCCAGGTTCCTTTTATATTTTTCTTTCTGATTTAACGCATCTTCTTTTCTTGTTGCCCATCATTCTATCTGATGCTGAGCCTTTCCTGTTTTTTACTTTGTACCGGACAATTTCTATCACATTTTATATAGTATTTTGATACAGAGCATTCTATGATACTTGGTTTTTATGTTTCGGTTGTTCCCAGACCTCACTATTTTGGTGTTTAGGGTGTCTATAACTCGGATCTGTTTGATCACTATTGCTCCGAATGATCTTGCATTATTCCTGTTTGCCATGTTTGATTCCTGATTGCTGAATTGTTTCATTCCAACTTAACTAAACATTGTTAAATAAATTACGGTAAAGTAAGAATAAGAGCTCAAGCGATCAACATAAAAACGGCAAAGAGGGTTTGAATTCAGAAAGAAAAAAAATCGAAAATGGAACGCTGCGCGATACAGCTTTAGCGGACCGGCTGTATCGCGATGATCGTACTGCGCGATCGTAGCGCTACAGGTTGACGCTTGGCAAGTTCTGCAAGCGCTGCCTTACTCTTGATTTATTGCAAGTCGACCATTCAGACCCATCCGTTAGTGAAACTAAGTTTCTTTCATGCTGATCGAGTCCATTTTTTAAATCTCAGTTTAGAAAGAAAAGTCCTGCGACGCTCTGATAAAATTGCTGGGGCATCGAAAATAAATCATGAAACTTTATGTAAGTTCAACCCTATTAGTGGAGCGTGCCTCTCTGAAGGTTTTGTCAGCGAAATATTATGCGTTGTGCGTATAGATTTCAAAGCTTGGTATTCCTCGAAGTAGCAGATTGAGAGCCACAGCGTGCGTTCTGTAAAGCCACTTGCCCTTAGTCGAGCTGACACCTGCGTTATCTTCAGGTAGGATGTCGCTTACCATGGCAAAGCGTCTGCAACGTGGGTTAGCCACCAGCACAAATTGATGGATATACTCAGATACCTTTCGAAAGGCTCGCAGTTAACCTAACTAATTAACATCTCTCCAGGTCTAAGTGGCACTATCATGCGCGCTTTCAAACATCTCGTTTCCCTGGGCAAAAGTTCTGTGAAGGAGTGCATCATAAGAGTTGCACCATCGATAAAGCGCGACACGAATGATCGCACTCGAGTTCTCTTTCTGTACACATTGAAATACCTTCTTGAAGGACTGTCGTCGGCAACAAACTGGGTTCCTGCGTGACCGGCATAACAATCACAGTTTTCGAGGAGAAAAGTCGCCTGTTCAGCTGAAAGCAGATGTGCATGGGAAAAAGGTTTCACCGCGTTATCGTTAGGTCTTCAAAGCTGTTGTCGCTCGATACTGGCACATACGAAGTTTGTCCCAAACTTACTCCATCTCCAAGACTTCAGAATGGCTGTTTTTTTTTTCAAGCACTCAGTTTCTTTCTTACTCCCCTCACGTGTGAAACAGCGGGCCGTAAGCTACGCCAAAAATTATGGTCCCTACGGACGCGACCAACGCCTCTACATTTAGCAGCCTCCTAAATACGTTCTACTTCGATCCGTACTGAAGAGGACGAAAACTCTGAAAACCAGCGTTTACTCTAAAAGTGATGTTCTTCTCTACTTTTCGTTGTAGCTGTCGTAGCTTCTCAATGTAAGAAACGAAAAGGCTGTGCAAATAGGTGGGCACCAGTCCTAGTTATTGATGGTGATTACCTTGTAATTTGGAGACGTCGCTCAGTGAATGAAAGTCTGGGTTGAAGCTCCAGTTCATACTTGCTTCCTTAGCCGAGGTCGTTTATTCAATGTATCCTCGAAAAGTATTTCACTTACGAGGGATATTGGGTAGCATTGTCTTCTGATTTATGCCTTCTTCAGTGAGTGTGGCTTCCTTGAACTGGCCTTTCAACCTGCTCTGACGATGGTACAGGGTAGTCTTTCAAGGCACGATTCTGCCTGGAGTGACTGAACCTAAGTTTGAAGAGTACATGCGCCTACATTCCTGTCCGTTCAGATCTCCCAGTCTCACGTGATTTTCCGGATTTGTGGTCTCGTTTTGTTCGCGTAATTCATTTGGTGGAATTTATGCCAAATCAGCTACACTACCAAGTGCTGTTTTCACCAGTGAAGCAAGGTTCAGTAGGGTAGACCAGTTTTGTGTACGATTATACCGCATTCGGTCTCGTTGTGCGGTTGTTACATGATTTTAATTACTTCCTTTTGATCATCGTATTTCAACGAATTATCATCGCAATGCCTCTTTGTGGCCTCCATCATTTGCATTCGTTCATCTTTATCAATGTTACATTACTTTTCACTCCCTATGATTTGGTGTTTTAGTGCGGGTAGATCATGTCATTCTTCGATTTCTCAAAACCGAAGATGTTCGACGTTAAAAAACGCATTGGAGCATTTGAGAAACTCGAAGACGGCGATAGTATGCCAGGTAGTCTTTTTGTCAATTCTGCCGCATTCATACATGACGCCTTTGAAAAAATGACGAATGTACAGAAAAAAGCATATCTATCGATTAGGAAACGGCGATTCTGTTGAAATGCGCAGTCTGCGAAATGCCGCAGAGTTGGCATTTCTCCCAGGGGGAGGGCTAAGCGGATCCGAGCGATCAGTACCCATCAGGATTCTGTCGGTCATTCCGACATTTCGGGAGGTTCTTCATGTCCTTATTCCGCGGAATCGTCTTTCGCCAAATCGAACGTACATTCTTCTGTCCACAGTTTCGTCATTTTCTTGTCATGTATGAGGCAGCGTTCAGACTTCGCGACGGCAGCGCCTCGGTCGCGCGTTCGGCGCGATCGATGCGCATGCTTTCAACTGCATCGATCGCGTCGAAGCGCGACCGAGTCGCGCTGTCGCGAAGTCTGAACGCTGCCGGAGTCGCCTGGCAGCACAATAAGGTCTCGCTAGATAGTGGTTGTCCACCGGTCATTGCTGTACAATACAATTTGTAATTCAGCTTTTCAGACAAACATGTTTACAGAGTCATGGGTTGAGCTGGCGCCGAGTCGAACAAGTTTGTGTAGCAGTGTTGACGCATCGATGGTATTAGTGGATGAGCATAAAGACAAAGATTCGAGGCTGAGGTTTGATCCATCCTTTGTCGACTTTACTTTCGTGTCATGAATCGGCTATTTTTTTTGTTTCTATTAAAAGACACCATTGAAGGCGGCGTACCACTGGTTACTGGGGTTCGCCAAATTGGAAGTACAGGTGCTAAGTGACTTAAGGTAGAAAAGTAAGGTCTAAAACACCCTAAATTCTCCCTTGGTTTCGGGCTTCTACGGGCATCATGCCAGTCGTCTCCTCGCATCGTCCGTCCTTAAATACTGTCCAACATGAGATTATTGGGTTGGTGGGGAAGTTGGGTCATGCCTTTTTTTTGTAGTGCTTGTTCCTAGTTTGATAGGGCTCGACCGGTGCTGTGGGTAATCTCTCTATGTATGAACCAGATACTGTTTGTGTGTCTGTGCATCTGTGTGACGCCTGAAAACTGGTGGATCGCGAAAATTCACTTTTAGAGACCTGATTAGGGAGCTGATTGTGCAATAGATGTCGCATGTTGTTAGATCGCCCAGCTTCGCCGGGAGATTTGACTAGCCTTCATTTAAGAAATTCGGGGGGGGGGGAGGGTGGATACCCACTTCTGTGCGGGAGAAGAATCGCGGAAGTGGCCTTTGTTTGAAAAAGTCAGGGGGGGAATACCAACTTCACGCGCGGGAGGGGGATCGCCGACTGCCCCGCGAATCACTCAGGATCTACGAGAAAAAGGGTTCCAATCTTCTAATGCAACATACTTTCGAGATTCTTTTTTGGTGACGATCTGTATGAACGTTATGAGGGCATCAGCTGCAGGCTTGGCTTGTTTGCTAGTTTGAAGGTACATTCGAGTAGTTCGTTGTACACGGCTTTTTCTTGTAAGGATGTGCTGTTGCTACTCGTTATTTCCTTACAAGTCGAAAGGTCTCTATCTGTATGCTTTTTTTATCATTCTCCTCTGATGTCGATTATTACTGCATGGTAAATATGTCTGTATTTCAATATTTTAGTCCGGTGTCTGTGCAGTCTCCGCATGTCGAGTTTGACAACCTCGAGCAGGTCAAATACAGACTTGTGAGAGATATGCTGCCTCCTGGCAAAAACAGTGATTGGATATGGGATTGGAGCAGCAGACCAGAGGCATATCCGCCAAGGTCTGTTTTTGATATCCTTTGAGCTTTGGTTGTTTTTGGAATGTCTCAATACCCTAAGGCTTGTTCATACTTTGCGCCAGCGTTTCGAGGGAGTAGTTTCCACACACAGCGAACTGTATGTTAGTTACTATGGTTACAAAAAATTAATACAGCAAATACCAATCCTTACAAAAACAAAGGCGAACGAACAAAAATATAATCTTCCATCATGAAATAATCATGAGAGAATAATTACAATGTGAGGTGTTTACCCAGTTTTTTCAAAGGGACTACGCTTGTTGGTGGGTACTTAGTCGGACAAGTCTATCAAATTCTGAACAGCTTCTGTACACGAAGAAATGATGTGTGGCATTATGTTTCGCCCTCCGAATGACTAACCTTCCTGGACTACCTCTCGTAACTGATACTCTTGTTGTAAATAACATATCAGGTCTAAGACCGGTAATAGAGATGGAGTGTTTTGAAGAGCGTTTCGAAGTCAGATTTTTTTCTTCTCCTGAGCTCTAGAGCCCAAGACCGAGTCTGATACTATTTGTGTCGCTAGAGGATATTTATTCATCTCCAAACCCCATTGTTTTGAGGTGAACCTTTCTTGGGGCAACGGTTAGGACTCCACGAGAGGTCAGCCTGCCGCCGCGACGCGGCAGTTTTCGCTATGTGCGCGGCGTTTGCATAGTCCATGAGATTTCCAACAGTCTGCTTTATTACTTGCAGGTGTGAAAACTATGAAAGGAGTAGGCCCGATGTTCAACTATTAGTATAAAACAATGTCCATTTACATAGAAATAATATTTAGAGAATACATCAGCAATCTAATTCACTTTAGGGTGAATCCTTCTTTTGCCCTCAATTGTAAGGTATTGTAAGGGCCTAAGATTTGCGGCCAGACGGGAAAAGTAGGTCGTATTAAGAAAGATTGAATAAATACAGCTGCCATTCAAAAATATTGACGTCCCATTGAATATTCTGGTTTGGCAAAATGCCAAGCAGATTTGCGTGATGCCAGAACTATGTGAAGGGACCGGGATCTTAATCGCACGACTGTATGGGTCTCGTCCAATCACGGCAGCAATCGCCGCGCGCGGCGAGGCGAAACATGGCAGCCGTGACCTCTCGTGGAGTCCTAACCTACACCCCTTTCTTGTGAACATTTGTACCCTCTCTGGAAATTTAAAGGCAGTTGGCACGATAATTTGGTACTCAGCCTGAAATGCTAGTAGGGCACTAACTAGTGGGGGAAAATGTCGAAAAAATGATTCGTTCTTGAAATGTAATTTCGGACGAGTTTCCCGTAGGCATCTTACCAATCACCGCTACCGAAGATACGGCTGCATATGTGTACCCATGTATGCATGCAGCATCACGGCCGCTTCATACCAATCCCTTCGCTTCATAATTTGCTTAGCAAATGAATGAATACGAGCGTCAGGAACGGTCGTCCATTTGTGGGCGGGCGGGCTACTTTCCGCTAAACAGTGCTCGAGAAATGGTCTAGAGGGTAGTGGTACCCCAGTGCCGTCTGCATACT